TCAAAGACTATTAGCTCACGTCTTTATATAACTAGCTAACAGCGGAGATTGGCACTGTGAAATAGAAATATTGAAGTCCTGTTGCTTTGGCATTTTCTAGAATATCTTAAAATGTCAGTGGTGTATATATGTTCAAATATTGTTGTCTGGCGAGTTCCCCAGGGCTCCAAAAGTGAGATAGAATGAGTCCACATTTGACTAGTGACTGTGAAAGTGCCATAAAGCTTACAAGTTGGTTCTTGAGTCCCATTAATTAAAGTCACCTGACTAGTTTTTCAGTTGTCAACTCTATCATTGTCCTTTCCTGAAGCCCACAAGGTTTGTCAACACAGATGGACCCAAGAATTCAATGAAGCCCTCCCTCAGTTTCAATGTGTGTCCCTCCCACACACACCCTCTGGCGGATGGGCTCTCCAGGATTCCATACCCTCATTTGCTTATTCATCTTGATCTGATGTTGTTCTGTATACATATGAATGACTTGGACACTCTCAGCATGGCTGCCAGTGAAGTAAATCAAAGGGATTCCTATGCCTGAATTCAACTTAGGTCTTTAAAAGCAACAATTGGACCTCTTTCTCTTGCTCTACCAGGATAGGAAGGATACAGCACTATTTCCAACCACTTCCCTAATTTAACTCCCTTCAGAGTTGTTGTTTTTTTTTTTTTCAAAGTAGTTAACAAACTGAATAAAGAAGATTACATAGTCTCAGCATCTCTAGTAAACCATCACAGGTTGAAAATGGAGTTAGAAGTGTTTTTTTAGCCAAAAAAACTGACTCATGAGGTTACTGGAATTCTTTATAGACCTGAAGATACATAAATCTATGCACATACACAGATGAAAGTCCACACATTCTTTGTTAGGACAGTCATTTGGGGCATGATTCATTGGTATTTAAAACTCAAGTTCAAAGTCACTATGAATTTGTGCCACTGGTGACTTGAAGTAATGACTTCCTGATCAATCTCAATTGCTTAGGTTAAAAAAAAAAAAAAAAAGATTGTTACATGATTTTTTGGTTGTTTATTTTGGTATGGGAATTAAACCCAGAGATGCTTAACTACTGAGCCACATCCCCAGTTCTATTGATTTTATATTGCGAAGGGTCTCTCTAAATTGATGAGGATGGCCTCACACCACTGCAATTAAAGGCATGTGTCACCACACCCTGCTGGGTTTACAATTTTTTTTAAAGAAATACATGTACTCATAAAACAAAGCCTTGATGAACAGATAAAAAGTCTTATAGGTAAGCTCAAACTATTTTTAAAATGCTTTTCCTGCGGCTTCAGATTATTTTGAAGTTATGGAAATCATATTCTTCTTCTTTTTATAAGATCATTTTTTGGTGCATTATAATTGCACATAATAGTGGCCTTCATTGTTACACATTGGTACATTCACATAACCTAATTTGGGTCAATTAGATTGCCCAGTACCTTCCCTTACCTCTCCTCTCCTCGCCTCTGAAATCACTTAGTAGGATCCCTGAGAAGGACAAGAAAAAAGGAAATAAATTGTTTGTTGGATGACAGTTCTTCAAAGCCAAGGATCATTCAAGGTATCACCTACAGAGCATTGCTCAAAACTTGGGGGCACAGAAGAGGAAGCTACTCTGGTTAACTGCTGCAGAGTTTGATCAGTTCAATGGATTTGGGACTAGGTATATTTTGCCTGTCCTCAATAAAAGTTTTTCAAATGGACAAGCTAACCAGCAAAGCTGCTCCAGCCCCTTCTGTTCAGTCTAGTAGTCCTTACTCTAAGCAAATCATCCTAATGTTCCTCCCCAGCAACTGAGGAAAAAAGGACTATAATAGACATGAAAGAAAACTCCACTTTTGATATCATTCGATACTCTCCATGTCCATAAATTCCTAAAGGTTTGCGATAAATTATCTCAAATAATATTTCATATGTGCTTATAAAGAGTATACAGATTTTAATGTGAGACCAAATAAAATCCAGTGATAGACAGTAATAGCATATATCAAATATTTAATAAAAAGGCTAGCAAATTCAGAGTCTTTAATAAAACTTTAATAAATTAATGAGACAAAGAAACTGAAAGCAGAATATTTCCTTAGGAACTGTTCTGTTTGGTTTTATCTTGTTTACAATATACAAGCTTTTTATAAGAATACAGGGAGTATGAAATCTTCTAAGGCTATCTTGGTGTTTTCTCCATTAAGCCCCTTGTCTTAAAAAAATCTTGAATCTATATTAATCTTTGCAATTTTCTGAATACCTGTATAACATATTTTTCTCAAGTTTGCAGTAAGGTCGCTGTTTCCAAGAGCTCTTCAATTCTGAAATAAAAGAAGTGTTTTTCCCAGCATTGAAACCCAAAGGCTCACCTAGACACAATGGGGTGAGCAGAACATGTAAAAATCTCTCATGACAAATCTGAATTCTGCTTTTCCCAAACCATATGAGGCCTATTGGAAGAAGATTCCAAGCAATTTGGCAACTTGAAGCAAAATATAGACTTTGATATTGCACCATTCTTCTTAGGAGTAAGCCACGTGATGTTGCAGGAAGGCAGATTTTAGTGCTGAATTTCTGATTATATCCCCCCCAAAGTTATTCCATGCATATCAGGCAAGAATGAAACCTCAAAAAAATAAATTAAAAAAAAAAAAACAAAGAAATTTGGACTTAATAAGGCTGGATCATATTTGCATGTTCATGCATTTTTACCACACATCACACCTTCTTGTTTCTTCCTTGCTCTGATTGGAAGCATGTGCTTTCATTATTCATTTTGGCATAATAAGTTATTACTTAATAATGATTCAGTCAATTTACTTAGAACAAGAAATTCACCTAAGGACTCATGACTTAGGGATGCTTTCAAAAAAAAAAAAAAGTAAGTGTGCATTTTGCACCATAGAGTATTCCCAGAGTTTCTTAGAATTCTTGCAACTGATGCTGGAAGCTTTGAAATAAAGCAGAAGGCAGAAGGTCTGTGGTTTTTGACCCTTCCCAAAGTAGATAAAAGTTGATAGTCATTGAATGCAAATAAACAACTATGCATCATTGAATTATTTCCTGTCACTAAAATGCTAATAGATCTCAAGGAATTGTGAGTCCCTTTTTCTATAATCCTGGAAAAATAAGAAATCTAAAGACTTATAATTTAAAGCATATATAATTTCTGATAAAGAACCGTAGTACTTACAAGGCTCTCAACTTAAAAACACAAAAAGAGAAGCATCATCATTTTCCATAGCATTTGGAAACTTTCCATAGGACGGAAACTCTACTATCAGAGCTCATCCGTTCTCAGACATTTCTAACGTTTTTAATACTTAGCCAATCTGAGATTGGGATGCCTCTTACAGCTGTTGTCTCAGTGATTTTGTTCCTGCCTAACAACTGATGGCATCTTGATTTTGGTAAAATAATGTAAATATTAAAGTGAAATAAAGAAAAAAGAAAGGAAAAGCTGATGGATAATAACTACTGGGTATTTTGTCATTCCTTGTTTATTTTGGTAAATTAAGATGAAAGATAAATCAAAAGTTTCTAGCTTAAGTTAGGTAAAATCAGAGAGGAGGAAAAAGGAGTTAATACTTCTCTGACATCTGTAATTTCTAAAACCACTAAGATCATTTTTATTAAAATTCATTTTATTAAAATTTATATTAAATTATATAATTAATATTAAATAATTTAATCTATATTAAATCTTATTTAAATTGACTTTATTAAATTGTATTAATTGAAATAAAATTTAATAAATTTTTAAATAAAGTCATACTATAATTAATATAAATTAATAAAAAATATCAATAAAATAAATTTAAATCAAACAATACTATTAATAAATTTAAACAATATTAATTAATAAAATAAATTTAAATTAGATTGGTTTATATTAAATTATAATATGATTTTATATTAAAAATTAATTAAATTTTATTTAAATGAATTTTAATAAAAGTGTTCTTCATGGTTTTAGAAACTACAGGTGTCAGAGAAGTATGTGCTATGCAATCTGCTTTTTCTCTTCTCTGATTTCACCTACTTAAGCTAGAAACTTTTGATTCATCTTTTACCTTAATTTACAAAAAGGTTGTAACTACTCCTTTTTTAAAGCCTTTCATCTTTCAAAAATTGATGTTATCTTCTTTCTCTCCCCAACTGTTTTTGATCAAATGTTTTAAAAAATGTCTTTATAAGCATTATTGTGGAGCCCCCAAAAGAATGTAAATAAACACTCCAGATGTTTAATGATACCTACTTACTAACTTTTCCATTGGCAATGGATCATGTGATTCCACTTCGGGGTTGACTCATGAAAATACTCTTCCTTCTGGACATATTTAACATCTAGAAAACTGAATTAATGTGAAGTGACTTTTCTATAGAAATGGAAATAAGTAACATGGATAAGGGTCATAGTATTTGGATTTAAAGTATCTTAGAATTTATCCAAGTAACTTCATGTTCAGGCTTTCCCCGTTCTAATTTTCTTTTACTAGTTGTACAAGGTTTTCTTTTATCAACTAAAAATTCACAACTTTTTGCAATATTATATTGGGTTTTCATATACTCTAAATCTGAGATATATATCCTTTTCTTAAGTGTTGGATCTTTCTTCTTCCTTGTTAATTAAATGTATCATTTTTATCTCAATGCCATTAAATGTATCAAATATAATCATTAAAAAAAGAGGTTGGAGCTAATGGTTCACTAATGCTGCTCTGTACAGTTGCTCACAAAAGTACATCAGAATTGAAGACTGGTGATGATTAGCTGCTACATTGGAACAAAATTTTATAAACAAAAAGTGCTACAGCAAACAAAACAAATTTTTTAAAAAGTGCTATAACAAAAAAACACAACAACAACAACAAAAATATCTAGTAGCTATATACCTATATATATACCAGCTGTTTTTCTTTCTCTTTTTGTCTACAAATGCATGAGTTCTTTTCCAAAAAGCCACTCTGTAAAAAAAACACAAAGTGTTTCTAAAGTCTTCTTTAGAGTGCTAAATCATCTCTGGTTGAGAATGCCTTTGCTTTAGAAGGTGCTCTAGTACTACTGTGGCACTACTGTCCGGGGACACTGGCAATAGTGTAAAGGTGGGCATGAAATCTGCAATGGGTTTAAAAAGAGGATGCCCAGGTCCACCAAGACCAACTCCAGCTAGGTTACTAAGAGGCACAGCTGCCGAACGGGGAACCAAGAATGGATTCCCGTTGGTGCTTCTACCAGCTCTGAATTCGGCTGCATCTTTAACACTTCCTGGTACATTTCCACCTTGCTCTCTCCTTCCTGGTGAGTCTGGACAGTCCATGGCATGAGCAGAGAGTTTGGGTGGTGGGGCAGAGGGATGAGATTCCATTTCCAGAAATTTGACAAAGAGTTCTGAAAAAGAACTATTAAGCACAGGTTGTTGATTTGGTCTCCAAGGTATGTTGGGGACACTTTTCGATGCCCCTCCAAGCCAACTAGTCATCCACTTAGTAACACCACCGGAATATTCACTAAACAACTGCTCCATTTCCTCCTTTGGAATGTCCAGGATGCTTCCCATTAACTGCAAGGATTCTCGGCGTTTACCTTTTGGTGTATGGAAATGACCAATAAAAAGGTTTCTCATAAGGACTTTGTCCACTTTTCCTTCTGGGCTGTTTGCCAAAGTCGACAATTTCTTTTGTGCCTTGTCCAACATTTCTTTTCCGAGCTCGTTTTGCCTTTTAAGTTCTTGGATCTGTTGTTCCTTCTGATCTAACTCTTCTGTAAGTCTGGAAGCAGAATGCAACATAGCATTTGCTTCATCCAAACGTTCCTGCAATGATGATACTTGTCCTTCTAGTTTTTCTGCCTTGTTCTTCCATTCTGCTATCGACTGTTTTTCTTTTGCTAATTCAGCAGAATACATTGCTTTTTCTTCTTCTTGGAAATGCTCTAGAACCTTTTGCAGGTTAGTTGATGACAGGGCATACTGCCTTACTCGTGCCTGGGAGAGCGAAAGCTGCTGTGCATTCTCATCCAGACAGCTCACCTTCAGTTTGTCTAATATGTTCCTTAAGCTCAAGGTTTTCCTGCTGGATGTTTAAGCTACTTTGTTGTGACTTATTTAGCTGATCTACTAAATCTTCTACTTTATCTTCAAGCTTCTGCTTGGTTAAATGCAAATCACTGAGGCTCTGTGCACTCTGAGTTAACTTCTCCTTCTGCACATGCAACTCTTTGGATAGGTTCATTTTATCATCCTCAAGTTGATGAACTCTCTTTTTTTCATCATCTAGATCTTGTTTCAATTTCTGGATGACAAGGTCTCCTTCGTTTTCTTGTTTTGATAGCTCATCTTTTATCAAAACCATGTGCTTTGTAGCTTCCTGATTCTGATGGTCCAGTTCTTCTAACTCAGCTATCAGCATTTTCTTTTCATGGATACTCTGATTCAGTTCTTCCTCCTTTGCCTTCAAGTGAAGTTTTAAGTCATGTAATTGAACATTCACATTCATGTCTGCTGAAGCTTATGTTTTTAACTACTTGAGAGTCACAGCTCAATTTTGACAGTGTTATCTGAAGTTCCTCCTTTTCTTGACTCAAGGATGACTTCTCTTTCTCTAAAGCTTCCACATGCATTTTAAGTTTCAGATTGTCTTCAGCAAGACTCTGATCCTGGTTTAAACCATTTAGTCTCATTATTTCCTTTTCAGCATCAGACAGGGCTCGTTGTAGCCTCAACACTTCTTCCACTGATGAAGAATTTTGTGGAAGGATTGTTCCCTTTTCTGCCACAGTAGCACTCTGCTCCAGAACTGACACTTCATGCTGATGATCATCTATGTCTGGACTTGGGTTTCGTTCAAGAGTCTTGATAGTATTTTGCAGTTTGCAGATTTCACTGGGGTCAGAATTCCGTGTTCCCTGAGCCTCAGCAATATGCCTCGAATGGCCAACTTCAGATTCAAGTCTTGAAACGTCAATTGACAATCTGGTTATTTCTTGGTGGGATGAAATTAGGTCATTAAAGTCCATGTCATCATCAGGAAAGGCTGAAAAATCACTACTGATCCGGGAACCAAATGGAGCCAGTGCAGTGGTTGTTGGTACACCACAAGCTCCTGAACCTACCCATTGAGCAGCTGCCTGGAGGTTGAACACTTGATCTTGCAGTGCCATCTGTCTTGCTTTCAGATGGCTGATCTCTACCTCCTTCTGTTGCAGTTGATTTCCCTAACTTGGACACTGATGCTTTATTTGCAGTTCTGATGCTTCATGTTTTTCCTCCAGATCAGTACAATACTTTTGAAGTCTTTTATTCTCCGATCTTAGTGGAGCATCAGTAGCTTCCATTTCCTTTCTCCGACAATCAGGTAAACCCTGCTTCTATGTCTCCTATGCCATCCAGAAGCATTTCCCTGGTGAAACTGGATATACGGTCGGTGAGGGAAGGCAAGTTGCTCCCCACCTGACCCAAGAAGTTGCCCAAGCCTGAGCCCAGGCCTCCAAACCAGGACGACATCGCCGCCACTTTAGTGAGCCATCGGATCAGCTCCGAAAACCGCGTCCAGCACCATCCACTTCTCTCCCCAGAACGTCCTCAAGCGTTGCTGGGGTCAATTATGACTCAAGAAAGAGCTCAGAATTCTGAGAAGCGCGGGGCTCCGCCAACACCACCCGTCTTGTTCTGCCTGTAAAAGCAAAGGCCTGTCCTGGTTTTTGACCAGGGACTGGCAGCCAGTGGCACAGTCACCCCTCACGCCCCTCCCTCCCAGGGGCCTCTGCTTCTTCCCTGGACTTTCCTATCAGCTATTGGCTCCCAGGATTGGGGAGGGCTGACTGGGAGGAGCTAGAGGTACAGGAAAGTGTTCTAGTTTGAGTCCAAAGGCAGTGTGCTCTGGAACCACGAAGAATCAATGTTGTAGATGAAATCCAAAAGTAGTTCACTAAAGAGTTCCCTCTTGTCTGGGAGAGGTGGACTTTTTGTTGCATTCAGGCCAGTTGCATTCCCTTGACAAGGTGAGGTCTCGCTCCATTAGAGAGTGCAATCTATTGAACTAAAAGTCCCCAATTCACTAGTAAATCTCACCCCATGACACCAGCACAGACACACCCAGAATCATATTTGGCCAAATATCTGGGCATCATAGCCCAGACAAGTTAACATATAAAATTAACCACCACAACATCTTAATCATTCTCAGAATTCAAATGATAATATTGATGAAATGTCTATAAAGAACCATCTTTACCCTTTCCAAAAATAAATTTTTGCTCTTAATCTTTAATTTTTGAGTTCATTTTAATATTATATGGTCCTTGTAAGTTCTGATTTAAGTTTATTTAAGTGGGCAAAAATTCCACTTAAGAAACTTTGTTTTTGAGCCAATAACTTGATGTTCACTTCATCTGTTGTTGTTTATCAGTGCAAAATATTATCCAGGTTTAAACCATACAGAGTGAAGTAAAAAGTTGAGAAATTTTTACTATGCAGTAACAATCCTAAATTGGAATCCCACACCTAGAATTAAGGATCAGAAGGAGATAAGGTAAGACCCTGCTTTCCAAAGTGTTTAAATTCCAACAAGTTCATGAAAAGGCAGCTTTGTAGAGTTGGGGGACAAAACAAAGAGATGAAGCATGTGGGCTGTAATAGACAATACAAATTGGGACCAAAGCAATTTTGGAGCTGAATCGACATGATGCATTTATGAAACTTCTCTCACAGGCATGAGTTGAAGCGTAAATGAGAACATAGTGTGTAGTTCTCACCCTATGGCTAACACAGAGAAAGTGGTCAACCAGTAGAGCCTGCTGCCACTTTGTTCATATTTGCTTTTGGTTTTGTCTACAATTATTTTTCTTATTACCCTTCAGAAGGGGTTTGGATTTGCTCCCATAATTCTCTTCCCCAAAGCACATATTCAGGACACTCTTTTCCTTGAGTTGTTCTTTCTATATGTCTGTTAAGGGACCAACTACTCAAGGTGGGAAAAATAAAATTTAAAACAAGGAAGAATTTGAGGAAAATTAATGGTTAAAGTGATTCTAAGGTTTATATCAAAAACCTCATAAAGTCTCTTGTCATCAAGAAAAGAGCAAGTAGATAGAATTCCTCAGATTGCTATTAAAAACTAGTGACTACAGTTGTATCTTGTGCTAGAAAAGGAAATCTTCTTTGTCCTTCTTATTCATCTCCAAATCTGAGAGAAAAATCAGGCCTGTATTATTCAATCTTTCCATAAAATACTAATATAAAACTTTAAACCCCTTATAGCATCTGCTGAAGTGGAGAATCCACTCTGTCCCCAAGCTATGTCTACTGTTGAAGAAGCCATCAACAATACCAAGTATCCTTTTCTCCCTTTGGACCATTCCTCCTGTGTATGTGTGTGTGTGTGTGTGTGTGTGTGTGTGTGTGTGTGCATGCACGCATTAGTAGGCTTTCATCACTTTGACAACATACCTGAGAAAATTAAATGAGTAAATATTTATTTTGGTTCAATTTCAGGCTCCATTGCTATGGCCTGAAGTGAGGCAGAATACCATGGCAGAGAGCCTGGTCTCAAAACAGAGCTGCTCATCTCTTGGAGATCAGGAAGATGGTGAAGGGAAGAAAGGACTGAGGAATACCATATACCCTTCTAGGGAAGCAACTCCAATGACCTACCCTCCAACTAGTCCCTACCGCATACAGTTTTTACCAACTCCCAATAATCCTGTCAAATAATGAACCCATCAGTGCATTGATTCACAGTTGAGGTTAGAGCTCAGGATTCAATTTGCTTTTCTGTAGAGTCCATTCTGAATGCCATTACATTGGGGTCCAAGTTTTCAACACATGACCTTTGGGCAACATTCCAGATCCAAATTATAGCAGTGTGCCTCTTTCTCTTTAGATGTTTTGTGTTTGCTTAAGTTTTGAATCACAAATAATGATCCATTTTCAGTATAAGACCTATCATATTTGGCTTGAATCTGGTTACAGTGGTTGTTGCTCCTACTGCTAAAAGGTATTTCTGATCACTCAGATTCATGGTTCATTCTGACCACAGCTGTTTGTCATTTTATATTTCTAGCTGTGAGATATACCTACCTACTGTATTCAAAACTGACCATCCAAATAAAAGCATTTCTCTTCTTCTAAATATGTTTGGAATATTCCTGGAAACTATGGGGGATGCAGAGGGAAAACCCTGCTTCATTCTTGAGCACATGTGACAAAAAAGCACCCAAGAATCATACATGTATCCTTATACATATATTCAGTGCCTAAAAGGTACAAGGCATTGTGTTAGATGTAGTGAACAACATAAATCTGTGTTATATACATTTCCTGCTATTAAGAACAAAATTGAATAGTCAATCAATGGAGAAAATGTTATATACAATGATTCTTGAATTATGATTCAAGGTCAGTCATTGATGACAGGGATGGTGAGGATCTCATATGGGGGAAAAGACCAAGTAAGAAAGAATAAGCCAGAAGTAGAGAGCCCTTAATAATGTAGCTTTGTTAAAACACAGGTTGAAGATGTAAATCATCAAGGCTTTTTGAGTCTATAAACATAGGGTGATCAATTCTATGCGAGATATTAAGTTTGTACTTAGCAGATTTGTATTTTTAAGAATTGGCATAATCAATGAAATATTCCACACATATTTGTAGGAAGATTAACATAATACTCTACTGACAATACAGTAGTAGAAGGATTGATTTCGACTGAGACGTTGCTCAGTGAATGATATATTACCCATAAATTTGAATTCTCATTGCCATGAGGAAGTGGGGTGAAAATAAGAATTGAAAAGAGTCCATGAATGTTATGCAAGCTGTGAAAGTAGATGCTTTCGCATCGAGTGACTTTTATAAGTAGGACAAAGAATTAAAGGTAGTTCTGATGTCTATAAAATGATCAAAATAAATCGCCAATATCATAAAGAAATTTAAGTCTTGTCTATGTGGAAGCAATTGTGAAACTCATGAACATCAATGATGTCACTGAGAAAACAAGGCAAAGGCTCAGGTAAAGGAAGCTTCAGTTTTTCTATTGCTTATTACATGTCAGATTTTGGGTTTGTTGTTTCCTAGATGGTCTTTCATTTATTTAGTATAAGAATTCTTGAGGAATATCTAGGAGAAGACATGGAAGAAAAAAAGAGAAGGCATTTAAGAAGAAAGAGTGAGAGGAGAAATGGATAAAGAACAATCATTACATGGTTTTGTGATCTAAAGCAAAAGGAAAGAGGAGAGAGCAAAGGTTGGAGTCCGTGGTCAGAAGCTGCGTGAGGGACACATGGAGGATGAAGTCTGAGGAAGTTGGTTATTAATGATCTTTGTGGTTCATGAATAGAGCATGGGGAGTGAAAGTGGGATTTCAAGGTAGTCAGGAGGTGTTCAATATGTGGAAAAACACTAAGTTCAAGATAATTGCTAATTCTTACCTTGAGAGTTTTTTTGACGTATATTGAGAATGTCAGTAAATCAGATATGGTTGGGTTATCTCCTGTTATGCATTGATTTCATGAGTTTATCATTGAACCTTTTCTTAGGCAGATATATTTTATATTGATGCATTAAATTAGCTTTGATTTTTCTTTCTAAATGTTTATCATCTAGTGGGTTCTAGGTTTTTATATCATTTCTTTATTCTTTGTATTGCAAAACTACTTATTTAAAAACTGGCTAAATAATAATAATGTTGTAATAAGAGTGGAATGAGTCTATTGTTTTTATGAAAATCTTTCCAAGTTGTTCTCTTCGTTTTTGTGTCAATATCCAGCCACAGAAACTAAACAAACAACACCCGGCTAGGGAAGATAGGAATGTACCACACACTATGCTTATGTCCCTGTGAGACACATTTAGATTATTAGGCAGATAAAGAAAGGTCTTCAAGGGAAAGGTTGATTTTTCCCATTTCTGTCTTGCACAGTAAGGCAATGATAGCTCTTTGTGTGATTTTATAGTGTACAAATGTTCCAGTGGATTAGTCACAAATTTAATCATTCATCCAGATGTTTGGTCAAACATCCAGATAGTTTTGTCAACTTTATGTGAAATAACTTAATGCCCCAAAGTGACTTGAATTGTTATTGTAATGTATAGCAGCATTGGACTGTGGAAAGTATTAAATAAAACCCATCAATACAACCTTAACAAAGAAAAATAGAAACTGACACTCACACACCCATCGGTTCTTATGGTCATGCTTATTTATAGTGATAATTTAAACTCAATAAAATTTGTTTTCTCCACAGAATCTAAAGATTTAGTATAAGGTGATATTTTGAATATTTCTTCAGTTGTATAAATTGGAAAATAATGTGAATTTCTTGACTTCCCTAATCTGGAGTTAATTATTCTGCAAAGCTCAGTGTCATTGTAAAGATTAACCATAGTGAATATAAAATGCCTGGCACTTTAGAGCTTGTAGCTCTTATACTTTTTCTAAGTTCTCAAAATAGGTACAGCTCTTTAAAATCATGGTGTTATGTTTATCTGGAATTTTAGCCTCCTAA